TGGCGCATCAGACACAACTTGACGCACTAGACTACACTAGCCTCTTCAGTGCCTCCACCACATTTGACACTGGAGGTCGAAGCCCCGGCTCCGCCTGAAATATTCATAACAATCCACTCTCAAAAATCTTGGAACGTAAAAAACTCTGAAGAACATAACACATTCAGAATGAATCAACAATAACTGTACCATTACGCAGATTGAAACTATATCCGCGAATGAAGATACAGATTCTGGAGGGTAGAGACCGCACAACGCGGGATCTACCATTTCCATCAGAGTTTCCATGTCTTTAAGCTGCGGCTTTGCCCACCGAACAAGAGACTGTTCTGCTTTTGGCCTATCACTGAAGATTAGAGGCAAGCAATAACATTTTCAGATACTTGAATAGTAATTCTATACGTTATATCAGAGATTACATTCTAGAGAAATGTTTGATTACTGAACCTGTCAAAAGGCATTCGACCGGTTAGCAGCTCCAGCATCACCACACCAAAGCTGTAAACATCGCTCTTTAATGTGTAAGCCGAGGGATCTGTGCATTCTGGGGCGTTGTATCCAACTCCAAGATTCTGACTTGTGCGCTGCAATTTCAAGAAACAAGGCATTACTCACAGATTGGAAACAACTCTGTATCTCTTGAGTACTAATTTTTTAAAGAAGCTCACATGGTGAAAGTTTGCCATGCCATAGTCTGAGAGGTGAGGAGTTAGATCACTGTCGAGTAAAATGTTCGATGACTTGATGTTCTTGTGAACTAATGGAGGCGAACAAACTTCATGAAGGTACCTGACAAAATAAAGTTTTCTTGTCAGAAGATAAAAAGGAAAATGAAAGGAGTAAAAAGAGAGAAGTTAGTTAGTTTTGATGATTCTCCACAAAGAAATGGTTGAACTTATTACTCTATAGCTTGAGCAGTTCCGAGAGCGATTCGGATTCTCGTGTTCCAAGTTAATGGTTTGCTGAAATCATCAGACTGGTGAAGGAATCTGTTAAGAGAACCACTTGTAAAATACTCGTAAACAAGCAAGTTTCTTCCTTGTTCCGCACAATAACCAACGAGTTCCGCCATATTCGGGTGGTGAATATTCGAAATACTCGAAACTATATGTGAAAACTCTTCCGGATTTCCTTTTCCTAACAGTGAAGAATCAATCTCTTTGACTGCAAATTTCTGTCAAAAAATAAACCAAGAAAGATATTAAAACAAAGTTTCTTGATAAAAGTGAGTGCAAAGAGTAAGAAAACGAACCTTTCCATCATGATATTTAGCTTTATAAACACGTCCAATGTTTCCTTCACCAATAAGGCGATTCGGCGAGAAACAAGACGCGGAGTTCTGCAAATCCGAGAGCGTAAACACTTTCACACCGCGTGTGTCAGGAGAGTCATCGGGGCTAGAGAAAGGATCAGGTGTTGCAACCACTTGAGTAGAAGGTATGATATGGAAAGTAGGAGAGTTCTTGAAACTCACTGAAGAAGTTCTTTTAACAGAAACCTTTGTATCAACCGAAGCATTAGAATCGACCGTCTTTTGGCCTCTGAATTCATCCATAGAGTCAAACTGAAGCATCTGAGAGGATTGCGGTGTGAAGAGTGGTTTGCTTCTGTTAGTTCCTCCTTTCTCTTCGTCGAAAAAGTGAGAAGAATGATGAGAGTTTTTCCGTCGAGTTAACAATGCAATTATACCTGCAAAGAAAATGAGTCCACCTATAGTAGCTACTGCTACTATAACTCCGATGATCAGGGCCTTGCTGCTTCCTCCACCATCTCCCGAGTTTCTGTTTACACGACGGGTCCCGGGAGGTGGTGAGGGAGCTCTACCGTTTGACCACTTGTTTCCTCCAGTTCTGATCAGGAAAATGGAAGAAAGTAAAAATCAATGCTTTTTGCATCTTTTGATTGTGCTCAAAAGAGATAAAACACTTACTCAAGGTTTCCAATGTTCTTTAGCTCGTTTGGGATCCAACCAGTAAATTGATTGTTTGCGACGTTTCTGTCATTGCAAGATTCATAAGAACCTTAATGAAAGAAAAAATTAGAAACTCTGTGTTACATAGCCTGCAAAATACTTACACATCATCGATCTGAGGGAGGTCTCTGATTGCATTTATAGAGCCTTTGAATTGGTTGTCTTGCAAGTGCCTGAAGATAGAGAGTTAATAAATATAGATTGTGAGGTGAGTAACAGTATAAAGAACTAGTTTCAACTTCTCTTACAGTGTTTTAAGGCCTGTTAGATTGGCAAAACTGTTTGGTAGTTTTCCTGTGAGTTGATTGGAAGACAGATCACTGCAAAAAACATAGCCTCCATGATGAATTTAATGAAGTCTCTCACAACTAGCATTTGTGTATGTGACTTACATTGTTTCAAGTTTTGGAAGCTTCTGAAACATGTCGCTGAGTTCGCCATTGAGGTTGTTACGACCAAGGTTTCTGAACAAAAAAAACAAGAACGGATATGAAAAAAAATGGTGTGATACACGGGAAAAGAATACGCGAATGAGCCAATTAAGTGTCTTTGGCTTACAGGTAACTGAGGTCGTTCATGAGAGATACCGAGTACGGTACATTACCATTGAAGTCATTCTCAGAGCCATCTCTGCAGTATTAAGTAAAAAGCTCAACACATTGTGTAGTGAAGATCAACAATAACTTGGAAACCGGTATTGTAATTCGCAAAATACTTACAAGTAAAGAAGTTTCTCAGGAAGCTGATAGGGTAAGTTTCCATTAAGATTGTTCTTGCTCACATCACTGTTTACAATGACAAAACAGAACATGTAGCTTATATTATTAACTTGAACCTAATCAAGAAGTAGAGATTAAATGTAAAATGTGCATTTGAGAGTAGAAGATTCTCACAGGTAAGTAAGTGATTTCAAGTTTCCAAGCTGGTAACCTAAAGATCCACTGAGTCCACGTCCTGATACCTTTCTACAAAAACACAAAAAGAAAAACAAAATCAAGAACCATTTATTCATCAGAGAGAAGTATTTGATTAGAGAGAAAGTAACAAACATTTCAGTAACAGAAGAGCCTTTGCAAGAAATCCCATCCCATGAGTCACCACAAGGATCGCCTCCGCTCGAAGACCAGCCTTTGAGTTTAGATGGAGAGTTCATGCTCTTATACGCGTCATTAAGAGCCGAAACTACAAAAGATCATTAACCATTTATGATCATCAGCATGAACAATAATCCTTTGGAGTCTTCTATCAAAACCGGAGAAAAAAAAACTATGATAAACCATAAGCAACCCTCTCTGATTTCATCGAAAAGATTGGATCACAACTTTTTTTAAGATGATTCAATAAGAAAACTTACCATCTTGGCTATCTGTTTTCGCAAGAGCAACGAAGGCGAAGATTCCAAACCATACGATGAAGAGTATTAATGGCTGCAGATTTGGAGCCATGATCGACACTTTTTGAGCTCAGAAATCAAAATCTGTGAAAAAGCAAAAGGTATGATCCAAAGAGAAACCCAGGGTTGGTTCCGGGTTTCCTTGGGAATGAAGGAAACACACG